TCTATTACACCGGACAAAATAACTCATTAATCAGACAATTTCCGCACTCGATAGCTTTTCTTCTCGAGGGCCAATTACTTTGAGCTCAATAAAGTCCGAGCCACTGTAACTGGGCAGTCTCCAAACATACATATTCTAGTTTTCTTCCCCTTCACTCTATCCATATTTATTTCCCAAGAGATTTTTCCTTAACCTCTTTCTCCTTCCTCCGCTACAATTTAAGAAGTTGGCTAAAAATTTCTTACATTATCATTTCGTCTCGTATTCACACGTATACATGCACACATAATTCGTCATCTTTGTCACATGTAATGAAATTCAACATTTTAAAAAGATTGGATAAAATGAGAAAACGAAAATAAAGTCACCTTTTATGGTTCACTCTCTTTTAAATTACTGTAATAAATCTCCCTTTTAAATTACTGCCAATCCATTTACACACACATATATAAACATTCATGCTACATTAATCGCTGCAATTCTTTATGGTGTACTAATGAATTCTAGTTTTTTTAACTCTCGGAAATGTATAATCTTTTTTACAAGGTTTTACCTAATGATTTATATAGATGTTAGTCGTTTCTGTGACGTAATAATATTATATAGTAAATTGTTTTTTTATGTAAAACTTCTTATAGACAGTTTATCCGCTCAGAATTTGTATCAATTATTTTATTAATGATAAATGCTTAACAAAATACCATGTCAATTTTTTTCGATAGCGTACATTCGCTTTACTGAATTTATATATTATTGTAATAATAGTTATTTATTAATAAACTTTGGATGTTAATCGATAAATCTCTGTCACTTTTAATATAAAATTTAAAGATCTCGTATATACATATTCTCCTTAATCTTCCAGAAATCACACATGGTCCGATTCCAAATTATAAGAATTAAGTTCCTTGACTCGAAATTAGAACCGATGATCGCGCTGCTCATAGGAAAAGACATTGTAGCATCCTTTTCAGAATGCAAATCCATATTCCAGAGCAACAAAGAATGCATTTGATTTGTAGCTTTTATCTCTGTGTGTACCTGCGAAAGAGAGTTCGTTTACCTATAACGTCTTTCCATATCTTAACCCCTTCTTATCCTTTGTCGCTCCAATTTAATCTGAAAATATTCTTGAGGTTTGTAACATTCAAAAGTTTTATAATTAAACATAAATGTACATAAATTGTAATTTCAATTCTATCATTAACAAGTAAATGCTATAATAATTTGGAGAGTATATGTATACGCTCGTAAGTATGTGTATGTGTCGTCTGTGTAAAATATTTTGATACGAACATAAAAAAACATCATATTCGAATTTACAATATTATTATCATGACGTTATAATATTATTGGCCGATATATAAAATTACAATTTAATTACTGTTCAGTTATGTAGTCGCGAATAGTTACTTTTCAATACTATTTGCCATATAATCTATTTACGCAGTTGTCAATAATTATTATTCAAATAACTATAGAATTGATAAAACTTCAGAAAATGAGTGATCTTATCAATTTCAATGACCTTGATATATAATATGTATTCATCGTTATCATCAGGGTCAGGAAGATTTGCACTTTTCGGCCGAGTTCCGTCTTCCGCTCGTAGACATGAAGTCCACCCAATTTAGGCGCTCATATTGTAAACTTCATTCTATATCTTTTTTTTTTGTTAGGAGTGTCACACGCTCCTAAACGTCGAGCGAACATTTGGACTAAGCGCGGGGCGAAAGGTGAGGGGAATAGCGGAAGACAGAGCCAAGTCAAAACTCGGCTGAGAAGTGCATACTTGCCGAGTCCTGGTTATCATCATATAGTAAAGTTGCCGAAATCGCATCAGCTCTTAAATCGTCCTACCTCATTTAAAAATTCAATTATTATATTTATATACTTTCTTATAGATTATTTAAGAACTACATGATACTGTAATGCTACTCTGTTATACGTGACATAAAGTGCCACAGGTTGTTATTTACATAAATAAAAAATTCGTGATTGCTATTTTTCAACGTATTTTATAGCAAAATTACAGAAAATAGCTGAGTTAAATAGCCTAAGTCTTGATCATTTATTGTAATTAGAATATTATTAAAATTAAATTAATAAGATTAAAGTTTGCTTTACATTTTTTTTATAAATAAAATAAATAAAAAATGTTCTAGTTATAAATCGCATCACAACATAGTTTCCTAAACCGCACAATCTAACTTCTTAAATCGCATTACCTAATATTTTTCCATTTCTTACATTTTTATTCCATTCATTGTTATGTAAAAATGTATATGATATTATTGAATGGATATTAAGCCATGGTTTTAGAAATTACGAAAATAAAAAGATTAGAATAGATTTTTTAATTACAGCGATAAATAAACAAATGATTAGAATTTAGGCGATAGTCTATAATAAGCTAAACAGAATTACATTATATATAATTATATACATATAATTACAATTATATAATTATAATTATATATAAAATATGTACATATAGATATTATATATATATGTATATGT